TCCGTGGTGCTGAGCGCGGCCGCGAGTGCGCGCGGCGCCAAGCATGCGCGTCCCGGGGCTGGGAAAAGAGGAGGGGGAGGCAGGGGAGAAGTGTCCTGGCCTTGATCTACTCAGGTACCACCGGATGCTGACCGCAGCAGACCCCAGCTTTGCCAGTTGCATCGGGTCTTGCCCGGCCTGGCCCACGCAAGAGTTTAGGGAGTACCCGGGACAGGCCAAATGAGTGTCTAACCGTGCCCAGGTCTAGAGGAGCTTCTGCCCATTTAGGTAAACTTCCCAGGGGCCCCGACTTACTGTGGAGGAAAGGGACTAGGTGAAGACAGTGGCTGGCCTCAGGCCTTTTCCCAGAGGGACTGTCGTCCTGGCGGGAAAGGAGCGACCTCAGTTAGGTTGGGCAGAGGTGAACTGCTTCGTCTTCTTCTTCCTCTCCTTTTTTTTTTTTTGGTTGGTGGTGGTGGTCATAGGGCTTGAACTCGGCCTGGGCGCTATCCCTGAGCTTTTTTCACTCAAGACAAGTGCTCTGCCACTTTGAGCCATGGCACCATGGTTTTCTGGTGATTAATTAGAAATAAAAGTCTCATAGACTTTCCTGCCCGGGCTGGCTTTGAACCTTGATTCTCAGATCTGTCTCCTGAGTAGCTAGGATAACAGGGATGAGCTACCAGCGCCCAGCTCTGAGGAACTATTTCTCATTTCCCATTCCCCAAAGCAAGAGAGAAGATTTGAAGTTTTAGACTTGGAATTGTGGGACCACTTATACCTTCCTTTCTTCCTCTTCCTTCTTCTCCAGGAAAAAAAGACCTTCCAATTCCCCAGGCCCAAAGGGGCTAAGCTCTCCACTCACCGCCGGCTGGGTAGGGGGCATCGTTACTGGTGCTTGCTTAGCCAGGCTTTCCACCTGCAATATAAGGCCACACAAAGATGTACCCCTGGGCTACCTGACACCAGAAGATATTGGAGGGTCCATGCAAAGCAGATGGCCAGGTCAGTGTGTGTGTGTCTGTGTGTGTGTGTCTGTGTGTGTGTGTCTGTGTGCGCGTGCGCATAGCTGGTTCCCCCTCCTCACCAGTTGATCCCGGGCTGCACTCAGACCCACCAGAGCCTGAGCCACAATGCTCTCTGCCAGGGTCCCTGTGATGGACAGCCTCATGTCCCTGAGAGCAGTAGAGGCAATGTTAGTGTGATGGCTCTGCCCAGCCTTGTCCAGCCCAGCCCCACCCAGCCTACTTGAGCCTGGTGAAGGCATCTTGTAGAAGTTGCTCTGGAAGCAGTTCTGGGAGGCCACTTGAGGCCACCAGGACCTTTTCTAGCTGCTCTCTCCAGCCGGGTTCCTGTAGCATCCGTGAGCAGAGGCTCTTGGTTGTGTCCAGTGTGGCCTGAGTGAAGTTCTGGACAAAGATTACAGTATGGTGAGCATGTGGCTAGGGCCACGGCACCTTAGCTTGAGACTAGAAGCCCCTACAGAGAGTATCACAGACTTCTATAGGATGGGGGTCAAGTCTACATATGGAGGTGGAGTTGGGGATATAAGCATCATCTTACCTGGATGTCCTGACAGCAGATCTCACCCACCTGTTCCAGGAGGCTGTCCAGCTTTTGCTGGAGCTGCCAGTGATGGCTTGGGGAACTCCCAGCCTCATATAAAATTGGAAGAATCTGAGGGCCAAGGAGGAGAGGGTTGCAAGTTCACAGGTGACTAAGAGGGGAAAGGTCCTCCCAGTGGGAGAGGGAGTGCTCACGCTGAGAGAGAAGTTGGCATTCTGAATGGCATCCTCAGCTTGGCGCACGGCAGCTTCACCCTGGGGCCCAGCCCCACAGCCCAGCAGCTCCACATGCTCCTGAACCGACTGACACAATTCATTCACTTCCTGAGGAGGACATCAGGGATCAGTCCCAGTTTTCTCCCACTCTCTGTGATTCTGCCTGTCTCTTCCCAGGGTCTCTGACAGGATGGGTAAAGTCCTGAAGCCCCACAGTCAGGCCAGCTGTTTAGGAACCCTGTTTGTTCAAGAAGGGAGAACAGTACCTCTTCCTTTTGGTCATTTTAGGGACTTGATACTTCCTAAGTACCCAGACCAGGAAGAAAAGAATATGTCTATGTATTTTATATATATATATATATATATACATACATACACAATAACACATACATACAGATAGTGAACATGAATATAGTTGTAGTTGTGAGACTGGGAGGATGAGGAAAAGACAGTGATGGAAGACAAATAATATTGAAAAATAAATCTATATATGAAGAGACAATAAAGGAAAGTCATTGAAAGCTGTTGAACAATATGAAGATAGGGGAATCAGGAAAGAGAGAGCAATAGATAAGATTAATTGGACTAAATGATAACATATGTTCATGGGAATTACCATGGTGAAACCCTTTTACATTAATATATGTGAACAAAAGCATAACTAGAGGGGCTGAGAAGGTGGCTCAGTGGTAGAGTGCTTGCCTTGCATGCATGAGGCCCTCGGTTCGATTCCTTAGCACTACATAAACAGAAAAAGCTGGAAGTGGGGCTGAGGCTCAAGTGGTAGAGTGTTAGTCTACAACTGAAGAGCTGAGGGACAGTGCCCAGGCCCAGAGTTTAGGCTCCACAACTGACAAAAAAAAAAAAAAAAGCATAACTAGAAAGTAAAACAAGCCATGTTAAGGGCTGGCACCAGTGGGTAGAGAGAGAGGCAATAACAAAGGTGAATGAAGTTGAGTGTGGTTCAACTACTTCAAGAATAGTGCAACTTGCCCGGGCGCTGGTGGCTCACGCCTGTAATCCTAGCTACTCAGGAGGCTGAGACCTGAGGATCGCGGTTCAAAGCCAGCCCAGGCAGGAGAGACCCTGAGACTCCTATCTCCAATAAACCACCAGAAAACCGGAAGTGGCGCTGTAGCTCAAGTGGTAGAGCGCTCACCTTGAGCTGAAGAGCTGAGGGAGGGGACAGCGCCCAGGCCCAGAGTTCAAGCCCCACGACCAACCAAAAAAAAAAAAAAAAAGAATAGTGAAACTTGTAGAAATTTTAATTAGAAACCAGGCCTGCCCAGTCTGGCTTTGAACGTGATCCTCAGATCTCAGCCTCTTGAGTAGCTAGGATTACAGGCGTGAGCCACCGGTGCCCAGCCATTTTATTTTATTTTTATTTTTTGGTTGGTCATAGAACTTGAACCCAGAGCCTAAGTGCTGTCCCTGAGCTTTTTTGCTCAAGACTACCACTCTATTACTTTGAGTCATAACTTCACTTCCTGTTTTCTGTGGGTTAATTGGAGATAAGAGTCTCACAGATTTTCCTGCCCAGGCTGGTTTTGAACCATGATTCTCAGATCTCAGCCTCCTGAGTAGCTAGGATTACAGGTGTGAGCCACTGGCACCGGCTTCTCTCTCTCTCACACACACACACACTCAAAAGACTCATTCTGACAATGCATGGAGGCTCATACTTGTAATCCCAGCTCAGAGGTAAGAGGATTGAGATTCAAGGCCAGCCCAAGTAAAAACTTTTGGGAGACCCCTCCATCTCAACAAAGAAACCAGGATTGGTGGTACCTGCCTCCATTCTAGGTACATGGGAAAAGGATAGAGGTTTGAGGCTAGGCTGCCCCAGATAAAAACATAAGATCATCTGAAAAATAACTAAAACCTAAAAGGACTAGGGGAATGGATTGAATGGTAGAGGGCCTGAGTTCAATCTCTAATAAACAAAAAATAGTAAAAGCTGTCTACTGTTCAAATAGTGGATGTGGGGGGGGCGTGGGGGGGGAGCTAGGATCCATAGAGATGAACCTAGGAAGCAAAGGTTGGCTGGGGTGAGGGGTGAATGCTTGAGAAACAGTCCAGGGGAGAGAGCAAGGAGGCCTGCGAGGACCGCAATGAGGCCAGGAGGAACTTGGAAGAACACTTAAATCTTTGCTCACACACTTGATGACTGTGGGCATCAGGGAAATTGGGTTCCAGAGTAGAGAAATGAATTTGGGAGAGATGCTCACTTGGAGAGGTACAGTGAATAAAACCTCCACAGCATGTGTGGATCTAGCTGTCTGGGCTCTGAAATTTAGAAAAGTGGGAACAGGGATGGGAATGTGGCTTAGTGATCGAGTGCTTGGCTAGCACATATGAAGCCCTGGGTGCCATTCCTCAGTATCACATAAACAAGCAAGCAAACAAAAAGTAAGAAGTGGTGCTGTGGTTCAAGTGGTAGAGCCCTAGCCTTGAGCCAAAGAAACTCAGGGACAGTGCCCAGGCCCTGAGTTCCAAGCTCCAGCACTGGAGAAAAACAGTAGAGGGAGGTCATGTCAGGGGGGGCCTCCTAGCTATAGAAGAGGACAGCAGAGAGAGGAGGAATGGGAATGGGAAAGCAGACATGAAGCTACAATTTGGAAGGTCTGTTTTTTTGTTTTCTGTTTTTGTCGGTCGTGGGGCTTGAACCCTGGGCCTGGGCACTGTCCCTCAGCTTTTCAGCTCAAGGCTAGCACTCTACCACTTGAGCCAAAACGCTACTTCCAGTTTTCTGAGTGGTTTATTGGAGATAAAGAGTCTCACAGACTTTTGTTCCCTGGCTGGCTTTGAACCGTGATCCTCTGATCTCAGCCTCCTGAGTAGCTAGGATTACAGGTGTGAGCCATTGGCGCCCGGCCAATTTGGAAGTTTGAAAACACTTCCTTTTTATTAGGAGGGCCCGATAACAAGCTTGAAAGTAAAGCAGCCCCTGGTGCTATCTGGGGAGCTATTTTAGGTGCAGTTGGTGGTCTGCAGTCCAAAGTCAGGGAATTGTCTAGCAGAGACCTCAGAGATGTCAGTCTTAGCTCTCCAAGTCTCCCTGGGTACTCAAAGTTGGGGAGAGGTGACACTGACCTGTTCTAATCGGTCGGAGACCAGACCTAAAGGTTCAAGGTGGGATGTACGATTTGAGGAGACAGGGTCTGTGCGGTTGTTCCTCAAGAGGCAGGCTTGGATCTGGGGGCAAAGGATATTGAGAACTGGCAGGGGGGCAGAGCCACAATGGAGGGAAGGGCAGGGGAGGAGGTGGCCCTCACTTGATTTACTGCACGTGCTGTCAATTCTGGGCGGCTGCGCTGTGCCTGGGTCACGTCCATCAGTGGCAGAGGCATGGACTTCAGGCTGTGGTTCTGTTCCAGGGCCTGAGCCACATCCAGCAGGCCCACAGCAGATGTGTGGTTCCGGTCCCAGATCACAGACCTGAGCGAGATGGGCCTTGAGTCCCCAAGAAGCCCTCTCCAGATTCCACCCAATCCGCTGACCTAATGCATTTGTTGTTGCTCCTTCAACTCTGCCTTCCACTCCTATTGGTCCCCGATGACCCCGCCCATCCCTTTGATGACCCAGCCCACCGGAGCCTAGTGTTGACTCGCAGTGCTTTGGCTAGCATCTTGGCTCCTGCATCCCCCATGGCGTTGCCACTGATATCCAGAGCTGTCAAGTTCGGATTGGTGCCCAGAGCCTGGAGCAGGACGCTGGCGCCCAGCTTCAGCCGTGACTCAGCCACAGATAGGGATTGCAGAGGCTGGGGTTAAGACAAAGGTTAGCAAGGAGGGCAGGTCACAGGGTTGGAGGAAGCAAGAGTGAGAAAAAGCCAAAAGTGTTTATTGCTTCAGGGCCCCACAAGGTCCTGTGAACTCACACAGTCATCATCCTGCATAAGCTGGACGATCCGGTGCAGGACGTCATCTAAGGTCTCCCTGCGGGCAGGGACTGCTGTTGAAGGCAGGGGAGCAGGGTGGGTAGGGTGCTATCTGGGAGGATCAGGGATGAGTTGGGGGCTCACTTGCACCGGACGTTGAAGTTCCTTCCAAGTGCTACATGTTTCAGGGACCGACTCCTCCCAATGGCGAGCACCAGAGTCACCATGTCTGAGCCGAAACCTGAGAGGTGGGGAGTGGCTAGGACCATGCCCAAAGCAGAGGCTGTAGTAGCTGGGTGGGGATTAGCAATTGGGTGGATAATGGGAGGATGGACTCCCTGGTGGCCTCACCATTATCCGCCAGATCCAAGGAACTCACTGCACCTGCGTCGCACACTAAGTCTTGTATCACCTGGGCACCCGCTGAACGCAGCTGGAATGGAGGAAGGCCATACAGGGGCAGGTAGTGAACAGGCCGGCTCCCGTCCCCCAACCCCTACTACTTCGAATGTGTGGGCACACCAACTCACACTTAGAACACAGCACTCACCTCACAAGCACTGAGGTCCAAGTGTAGGTTGCAGATGTGTGTGTTGAGTGCGAGGCCATCTAACAGGGCCCTGAGGAAGAATGTCATGGGAGGTGGTGGGAGCTAAGAAGGAGGGCCCCATGGTGCCATCAAATACCACAAAAGTCAGGACCAGGACTTAGGGGAGGTTGTGAGTGGGAGAGGAATGGGGTGAGGTCCCAGAGGACCTCAAGGTGGTGGCCACACCTGTGGGTACATGGCCAGGCCAGGGGTAAGGAGACTCACCTGAGTGCATCAGAAGGCAACTTGCAGCCTGCCAGGCTCAGGTGCCGAAGCATCCCTGCCTGGCTGAGGAAAAGCTTCAGCGCAGCAGGCTGGGCCCAGGACTTCCTAGGGTGGAAAGCAGGAGGAAGGATTGAAGCACAGGCCTTTCTCAGCATCCTCCCCAGCTCTGACAGTCCCAGTCGCCCTTACATGCGGGAGAAGATGTTCCTTGAAGCGTCCAGGTGGGTGAGGCTGGCACAACAGCCACAGGACAGTGCGGCAAAGAGCTGTGGGAAGAAGGTGCTGGCTACATTTGCAGAGCCCTTTTTTTTTGGGGGGGGGTGTCCGGTCGTGGGGCCTGAACTCTGGGCCTGGGTGCTGTCCCTCAGCTCTTCAGCACTCTACCACTTGAGCCACAGAGCCACTTCCAGCTTTTTTCTTTTTTGCTTATGTGGTGCTGAGGAATGGAACCCAGGGCCTCAGGCATGCAAGGCAAGCGCTCTACCACTGAGCCACCTTCCCAGCCCCGCCCTTTCTGTTCTATAGGCCACCCTGTCTAGGCTAACAACCTCCCACCAGCTAGTCCCCCACCCCCACTCTTGACCAACTTCTTACCATGTCCAAAGCGGTGTCAGTTCCCGCAAGATTCAGGAACGCCAGAACATTAGGATGGCTCAGGAAACTATAGAGACCCTGGTGGGAGGATGAGGGCTTTGAGGAGTTAGGAATCATCTTAGTGCTTTGGGTCACTCCAGTCTCAGATCCTGAAGACCACCACTCACCCCACTGTCCTCAGAGGCTCCCAGAGCCCCAGGATTCCCAGAAATGTCCAGGTGGGTCAAGGTAGAGTCAAAGGCAGCATTGGTGGCCAGTGCCTGGCCCAGAGCCCGCATTCCTGGAGGTGGACGAGGGCGTGTCTCAATAATCCGGCAGACCCCTTTTCCCCTCTCTACCCTATCATCACCCAGCTCACCTCGTGGAGTCAACCCTGTCTGTGCTAGGTTGAGTTTCCTCAAAGCTCCTGGACGACATACTAGGTGTCTGCTAAGTGCAGCCATACCTGGGGATGGGGAAGCTCTGTAAGACTCGTCTCTTCCAGCTAGCTGCCTTTCTCAATCCCCAGGCTCAACCGTATTATACCTCTGTCATCCAGCAGATTTCCAGCCAGGCTAAGCTCCCGCAACCCAGAGTTGGAGTGTCTTGTCAATATCTGAGCCAGTCTCCGGACAAAATCTCTGAGGACCAAGACCCCAGGCATGATACTCTGATCCTGGCTTTCCCAAGTGCTCCCCAGATCACTAGCCCCCAATCCCAAGCCCCACCCTTCCCTCATAGGCCCTCTTCACCCTCTCAGTCCACAGGTTTCCAGCACCAACTCCTCCAGGTGGGACGACTGACTCATCATGTGCAGAATCTGTTCTGAGACCTCGAGGCTCTGAGACCAGAAGGCCATGACTCTCAGCAGGTTGTACCTTGGCCCTCACGCCCTTAGCCCTCCCTGCTCTCTACCTCACCAGCTTCATGTCCACACAGGAAAGGCGCCGGAACCATCGATTGTAGGACAGGGCAGCCACACTCAAAGCCAGATCCCTGGATGGGGGGCAGAGCAGGGGGACAGCTCAGGGCCTCAGGCCAGATCTTAGGCCCAGCATTCCCTCCTTGGAGGCCAAGGCCCAGAAGCATGAATGTAAGAGTCCTCCTATCCTCCCAATGCTGGCAGGCCTCGCACCGGCTGCTAAGGTGGCTGAAATCTCCCAGGCAGAAATGGCGGCAGCCCTGACGATGGTAGATGGTGTCTATATCCTGGGTGGAGAAAAAAAGCGTTCATAGCTAGTGTGGAGCCATGAAGGATAAAGAGGCACAACACACATGGGAACCAGATGTCTCCAGAGTCTTCCAGAAAAGTTCCTGCTCTTACCCACTGAATCTCCTCTTGGAAAGGGAAGCCATTGTAGTCACACAGAGCCTCATATGTCTTCAAGAAGCCACCTAGGGAGGTGCCAGAGATATGATGGAGGGAAAAACAAAAAATGGAAGTTGGAAGATCAGACTAAATAGTGGCCCTCCCAACTCTAAGGGCCTTACCGCAGGGACTGCTGGGTGCTGTGAGCTCTGAGGAATTGCTTCTCTCCAGCCGAGCCAGCATTGAAGGGGGCGTGGGCTTTCGGAAAAGCTTCCTGGGGATGGAATAAAGGAGAAGGGGCAAGGGATTTCTAGACCTTCAGTGCTCCTTTGGAGTGCTTCCTGCTTCCCGCTTCCCTCCACCCCTTGAAGTAGCCAGGCCTCACCCAAGGGTCGAGTGAGGGAAGGCTTTTTTGATAGCAGCAGCTACATGTTGGGCCAGCTGTTCCACAGCAGCCACACCAGGAAACTCCAAGACCAGGTCAGGTAGGGACTCTAGCTCAAAAGTAACCTGGGGAGAGGAGAGTTGTTGGGCTTTGGCTCCATGTGTAGGGTCTGGTGTCCCTTCTAGAGCTCCATGTGTCGGAGGATGAAGACTAAACCATCCTATGGGTAAAGGTGGGGTACCACGTCTCACCTGTGGAGGTGTCTCCTGAAGCACCATGGCCTGGACTTCCAGATAGCTGAATGTACAGTCCACCTAGATTGCAACCAAGCCCCCGAGCCTCACCCATGGAAACCCAGGGCTTTTTGTTGTTGTTGTTGAGACATGGCTTCTCTATGTAGCCTAGGCTGCCTCCGTCAGTGGTGGAATTACAGATCTACACCATCACACTGGCCTACGAGTTCAGTTTTTGTGCAGCCTGAAGTCTAGAGCCAGCCCAACTCAGATTCCCCTTCCTGTCTGCTGCTGGGAGCCCAGAAGGGAAAGGAAACCCCCTGCAGATGGAGCCCCTTGCTAAGGAAGATGCTGGAGAGTAAAAGGTGAGGAGGAAATGGGGTGGGTGAGCAGGCCCTGGGACTCACCCTCAGTGGGAGGCAAGTGTGCAGCAGGTAGGCCCTCCATCTCAGCAGGGCCTGGGGGAGACAGAGTCTGACACTCTGGACAAAGCAAGAGGCTTTGGGCTGGGCCCTCACCACCCCGCCCTTTGGGGTCTGCTCCTGCCCACCGTACCAAGACATGACTTTGCTCAGCACCCTGCTGAGGTAGCCAGGTTTTAAGCAGCAGCTCCACCTCCTTGGGCCACAGGAATCTGGTGATCTCACCTGAGGAAGGACAAGCTGCTGGGAATTTGGGCCCATAAGGGCCATTCCTTGCCTACTGTCTGTGCCAGGAAAGCTGTGAGGTGGCAGGAGCCATAGGTTAGCCAGGAAGGAGTAGATGGGGGTGAGGGGTTCTAGGCCACAGGAAGAGCAAAGAAAAGCTTTGATGAGAACTCCAGGATGCTGAGCTAACCTCTAAGGTTTGGGGCCCGTGCTGTGTCCTCACAGTCAAATGGGCAGAATGGGCTTGGGCTTACCTCGGAGCTCACTGGATATTTCGTCGGGGTTCTGGGCCATAGAATTGGCCAGGCCCGGATGGCCTAACGAGCTAGGGCGGGAAGGAGCAGCCAGCAAGGCCCCCACACACAGGAAGCTTGGCAGAGGGCCTCACGGCAGCCACCTGCTCCTCTAGCAGCGGAAAGTACACGCAGCTTCCTGCCTGCCACCCTCCTGGGCCCGGCCCCTCCCTGCCACAGCCTCTTGGGCCAAGATCTCTCCTGGGCTCAGCTCAGGGTTGTGGGAGGAAGGAGAGTCTGAGTTGCCCACCCACCTGCCCACCCACCCTATCATGCAGGAGCTCTTCTGCCAGCGTACATACGGAGGTGAAGAGGGGTAGGGGAGTGGGGCACTCATCTTGTGTGCCGCTCCTTACTTTCATCCCGCCCCGCAGGGTCTGCCGTGAACACCAGGGGGCGCCGTCCGCTTGGGGAATCCCAGCGGCCCACCCCTCCCACGGCCAGGCTAGCAAAGCGGGCAGGCGCCCAGCGGAGCACAGGTCCTGTCCTGTTGTTCTGAATCTAGGTTCCATGACTTCGGCAGGGGCTGAGTGCTGACTCTGAGCCTCTTTGTGCTAAAGGTTAGTTCTCTACCACTTGAGCCACAGCACAACTTTTGGCTTTTTCTGAGTAGTTTGAGTTTCATGGATTTTTCCCCAGCTGTGTCTCCTGAGTAGCTAGGATTACAGCTGTGAGCCATCAGTACCCAGCTTCAGTTCCTTTTTTTTTTTTTTGGTCGGTCACGGCGGCTTGCACTCTGGGCTTTGGTGCTGTCCCTGAGCTCTTCAGCTCAAGTTGAGTGCGCTACCACTTGAGCCACAGTGCCACTTCTGGTTTTCTGGAGATAAAGAGTCTCATGGACTTTCCTGTCTGGGTTGGCTTTGAACTGTGATCCTCCGACCTTAGCCTCCTGACTATCGAGGATTTCAGACATGAGCCACCAGCATCTGGCTTCAGTTCTTTTTTGTAAGCAGGAGCTATTAACTTATTAAGAGTGCCGTTCCTGGGCTGGGAAGGTGGCTCAGTGGTAGAGCTTGCCTTGCATGCATGAGGCCCTGGGTTCGATTCCTCAGCACCGCATAAGCAAAAAGAAAAAAGCTGGCCCAGAATTAAGGCCCTATGACCGGACCCGTGTTGCTTCAAGGACTTTTTTTTTTGGTGGTGGTTCTGGGTCTTACACTTAGGGATTGGGTACTGTCCCTAAGATTTTGGGCTCAAGGATAGTGCTCTACCACTTGAACCACTCAAAAAAATTTTTTTTGTTTGGCCGGTCGTGGGGGCTTGAACTCTGGGCCTGGGCACTGTCCGTCAGCTCTTCAGCTCTAGGCGAGCGCTCTACCACTTGAGCTACAGCGCCACTTCCGGTTTTCTGGTGGCTTATTGGAGATAGTCTCACAGTCTCTCCTGCCCGGGCTGGCTTTGAACTGTGGTCCTCAGATCTCAGCCTCCTGAGTAGCTAGGATTACAGGCGTGAGCCACCAGCGCCCGGCTTAAAATTTAGTTCTTTTTTTTTTTTGTCGGTCGTGGGGCTTGAACTCTGGGCCTGGGCACTGTCCCTCAGCTCTTCAGCTCAAGGCGAGTGCTCTACCACTTAAGCTACAGCGCCACTTCCTGTTTTCTGGTGGTTTATTGGAGATAGGAGTCTCTCGGTCTCTCCTGCCCGGGCTGGCTTTGAACCGCGATCCTCAGATCTCAGCCTCCTGAGTAGCTAGGATTCCAGGCGTGAGCCACCAGGGCCCGTCAAGAATTTTTTTTATTGTAGTTAACTAGAGATAAGTCCCCTGTACTTTCCAGCTCAGGATGGCTTCTAACCATAATCCTCAGATCTCAGCTTCTTTAAACTAGGATTATAGGTGTGAGACAATGGCACCCAGCTTGCTCTAAGGATTTTATGTTTAAGAGAGTGTCCACAGTAATAGTATCTTAACACTGAGCAGAGGCATTTGCAAAATCGATCACAGCAACCCTAGGATTGGACTTCAGAGGGGACAGAAAACTCCTCCCTAGGATTCTATTCTGAATGGAAAATAGTGATGATCAAAAGGGCTACATAGTTCTCAGGCAGGACCCTAAGGTCCAAGAACAATAGGAGGATCAGGTCAGCCCCTGTACAGTGAGTACTTACGGCAGGCAAGAGCCACTAAGGCAACCAGGATCTACATGGAGCTTGGGACTGGTATGTGGGACAGTCAGACACCTTTTCTGATAGTGATCAGGAAAATAGTGACAAAACAAACCTTAACTGGCCTCAGATCTTACAATAACTCCTTCACTGAAGTGAAGCCTTCAGCTTGTTCTGGACAGCACACCACACTGGGCACTAAAATGCTGAAGCTCCCAATAAGCATCAGCCCTGCTGTCTGAGAAGTACAGGATGAGGGATGGTTTTAAGAGAGGATCCTGACCAAAAACCCAAGAAGGCTAAGGTGCCTGCTGGGCAATTAAAAGGGCTAAATGCCTGCAGAGGTGTGGAAGATAAAGAAAAATAAAATAAAAATGTATGCTGGTACTGCACGCTGTCTGACGTTTTTTGCTCAATGCTGGCACTCTTAACACTTGAACCATAGCTCCATTTTTTTTTTTTTTTTTTTGGTGGTTAACTGGAGACAAGAGTCTCATGGACTTTGCTGTGCAGGCTGGCTTTGAATCAACATCCTCAGGTCTCAATCTCCCAAGTCGCTAGAATTAAAGGTTAGTTACCGGAGCCTGGCAAATTACTTTACTCAAGTCCTGTGGTTTAAAAATGAGGAAGGGAGTTGCAAACTGGTTCAGGAACTTGCTGCTCAAAGTTCAGTGGAGGAATTCAAGTGATAACTGGCCTCTGTGGAAGGATATATGGGCTATATGGATATATGGGCTATATAAAAATGAATCACTTCCCAGCTTCCATTATGTTACTTCTCTTGCCCCCACACTAGTCAAAACAAATCCACTTTCAAACAATTGAATATACACAATTAGAAACAAACTACATTGAAGATGCAGATAAATACAGCTTCACTGTTCTGCAGATTTACTTCTTTTAGAAAAGGATATACTCATCTCAACAATTCTGGTAGGGGAGCTAGCCCATGGGTGGGATGAAGAATCTGTGTTCTTACAGCCTAAGGTTTACTAACATTCATTCAAATCTACAAGATTTTTTATTTTTATTTATTTTTGGTACTGGTCCTAGGGCTTGAAATCGGGGCCTGAGCTTTTATGCTCAAGACTAGTGCTTTTACCATTTGAACAAAAGTCCCACTGTGGCTTTTTTGGTAGTTACTGGAGATAAGAGTCTCATGGACTTTGCTGTCTATGCTGGCTTCGAACCATGATCCTCAGATTTTGTCATGCTGGACCCAAATCTCTGCTCCCGTGAGCCTGGGTGACCCTAAGCCCTCTGAGCCAAGATTCCAAGAACACAGTTTCTCACCCAGCTCTTTCTATTCAAGGCAGCTCTGGGGCACTTGATTCTGTACATGGTGCATACATTCCTAAGGTGGTTCGTGGAAGTTGGCAGTGGTCCACTCACTTGCCTCTTATTCACACACACACTTTTGGGAAGTTAAAAGTTGCAGCAAGCAGGTTGCATCCAATATCCTGTCATCTGCCAAACCATCTCATCTACTGCAAAAGAAGTATGTTAGGGATAGAGAATGCCTGAGAAGAGGAGGTCTGAGCAACCTGGAGCCATGCACAGGCCCCCTTGGGCTCTCAGCAGGCAGGAATCATGCCAGATGGAGTCTTAAGCGTGCCTGTTAATCCGTTATGATTTATTAGCTGTACAGCAGTAGATCCTCCTCCTCCCCAGCTTTCAACCCCATTACATATTTTATTACAGGTCTCATGTTGGCGTCCTAAAATAATGAAAAATATCACACAGTACAGCTAAGTACAAAATGCATCAACCTAGAGTCTGATAGCTAACTGATGGCTCTCTTAAAAGCAATACACAGAAGAAAAAAGTGTTTGAAATCAGTAAGACTGAGGCTCTCTAAAAAACACATTTTAAACATGTGACAGTTCATGTGCAAGAATCACTTTTTAAGTTGGTTTTGCTTCACATTATTATAAATTTTTTTTTTCAGATCCAAAGTTTAAATTACTGACCTAGTAAAATTTTCTGGCCCAGCATTTCTGGGCTGCTGTGACCCATTCATAATCACCCTTCTGGCTTTAACAGAAGATTTATAAAATACAACATTTAGCTACAAATAGAGCAAAGAAAATGTTGATGGGAAATCATAAAGTTAATTGTACAAGGTTCAAATGCTGGCTCCATGGGCTGAAAATCACCTCCACATGGGTATCCATCACTAGCAGACAGCAGTCTGGGTGCTTTTCTGCTACATGATTGTGATCCAATTCCTGGTCAACATTTACACACCACCGAGTCCGTGGTAACTTAATTTGCAAGTAATTAAATGCTGGGTTTTCTTACACTGCACTTTTTTTTTCAATCTCTTAATTAATGGAAAAGATTAAAATGTAAAAAAGTTATTTACAAGCTTGACCATACCAGAGACTTTGCCAAGAAAGAGGCAAAGCTTTCAGGACAGGAACTGATCATAGCATGCCATACTACTGGTGTGCAGCTGGCTCCGAGCAAAGGGAGTCAGGGAAAAGCAAAAGCAAAAAACAGGTTAAAAGTCTAAGTCCTTTCCCAAGTCTGCATTTACAATTAAAAACTCTCTTGGGAAGAAGACTATAGAACTCTGGGAAACCCGTGGCCATTCTGGAGTGGTTTACTAAATCAAGAGAGAGGGCTCAATGTCTGTTTCCATCTCAGAAAACTAGTTAGGCATCAACACTGTCCTCAACACTTCACAGTAAACCCTCAGGAACTCAGGACATTCCATGATTTGCTAACATCAAACAGCAAGTTCTAGTTAAATCACATTTTTCTAACATCATCCTTGAAGTTTTCGTTCTCAGTATGTTTGGTAAAATGGGTGTAAAATGATGCTTTTCCCAAAGCCAAAAGAAGAAAAGGAGAAAAATTAAAATTTAGGCCGTTTAAACACAGCCTAGAACAGTCCTGGAGACAAGTAAGGCCCCGTTATCACCGGTCCATCATGCTGAGGATCATCTCAGGTGTGAGGTCTCCATTAGGGGCATCTGTGGCAGCTGGCTGGGCCTCCTCTTCCTCCCCTTCTGCAGGCTCAGCATCTGGCTCTTTTTTGACTTCAACTATAATGTTCTCAATTGCACCTGTATTCTGGTCTTCAACCTGAATGATGGCTGTTGCTGGCAAAGCAAAGACAAAACGAATAGTACATTAAAAACCCCAGAAACTACAAGGGTCTTTTCAGATACGACAGTGAGTAAGACAGTTAGCAATAAAGGAAACCCTTAGAGGTGATGAGGACAAAGTCAATGAAAGATCACCTTAAACACCTAAAATGTAGACATACATAAAATAGAGCCCTAATACTTAGAAACTGCCAAAGGACAAAATGCTGACATTCATCCTCATATACCTTCTAACTCACATTTTGAAATCCTTACTTTTCCTTTATGTTAGAAATTTAGATTTTAAGCTTTATAAATAGTGTGTGAAACAAGTAAAACTAAATCAGAAGAACCCCCCCCCCACACACACAAAATAACACATGATCTGGAACTATGAATACTTTAGAATGTATGATATAGGTAACTTTTTTGTTGTGGGGCTTGAACTCAGGGCCTGGGTGCTGGCCTTGAATCTCTTTGTGCTCAAAGCTAGTGCTCTAACCCTCTAAACCACAGCACCACTTCTGGTTTTCTGGTGGTTAATTGGAGATGGGTCTCACAGACTTTCCTGCCCCAGCTAGCTTCAAACTACAATCCTCAGATCTCAGCCTCCTGAGTTGCTACGATTACAGATGTGAGCCACCAGTGCCTGGGGCTAGGTGACATTTTTTTTTTTTTTTGGTTCTTTTTTATTTTATTTTTTAAAGTTTTTTTATTGTGAAAATACCGTACAGAGGGGTTACAATTACATGAGCAAGGTCATGAGTACATTTCTTATCAAGCATTGTTGCCTCCTCCTTTCTTTTTCCCCTACCATCCCTGCCCTCCCATCTCCACGACTAGACTCCCCTCCCCCCAAGCTGTAAAGTTCATTTTTCGACATAGCATCTTATACATCTCATTGTTGGGTCCACCTGTATCCCTGTTTTTTTCCTTCCCCTCCCCAAATTATAGCAACATCAAATACAGTGAAAGCAGGGGTTATACTGTGGGGGAGGGATTTTTTTTTTTTAAATCCTGCCTCTTTCTCCTGAGTAGCTGAGACTATAGGTGCACACCACCATGCTTGGATTTTTTTTTGCGGGGGTCAGTCTTTGGGCTTGAACTCTGGGCCTGGGCACTGTACCTCAGTTCTTCAGTTCAAGGCTAACACTCTACTAGGTGACATTTTTAATTCTACAGCTCTTCCACACCTCTACACTGGGTGAGGGCCATTTTCCTGCTAGTTTGGTCACTCGAACATTGTGTAGGTGAAATGAGAGGGCTATATGACCTATTAATCTTTTTTTCCCCCCCATGATAGACATTTAAACACAGGGCTGAGGAGAATATACAAAATATGGAAGAAAAAAAAAAAAGATGAACTGTAGGTGTGGCTTAAAGTGGTAGGGTACCTAGCTAGCAAGTGTGAGGCCCTGATTTCAAACCCTAGAACTGCCATACAAAAAAAAAAAAAAAAGCCAGGTGCTGGTGGCTCTTGGCTATAATCCTAGCTCTTCAGATGGATGAGATCTGAAGATTGAGGTTCAAAGCCAGACAGACTGGACAAGTCCATGAGATTCTTATTTACAATTAACTAGCAAAAAGCCAAGCAAGAAGTGAGGCTCTGAGTGAGCCCCAGTTACTGGCACAAAACTTCCCAAAATGAAATAGCCATTCCTAAAGAGATTAAGGAGACATTTCACACCTGGTGGTGTAAAGTGGCAGGGAAACATTTCCTCTGGGTCTTTTTATAGAACAGGAGGCCAACACTTGACTCTATGGTTCTGAATTTCTTCAGAGGGGCAACATCAGACAAATTATTTTATTCTTGAAAATTTGGCTCTTTTATGTTCATTCCCATATCAACCCTGCCAAACTCGCCCACATTAACAATACCCATCTTGTAGAACATAAGTACTCTTCTCCTCTGGACATTTTCTTCTTGAAATTAACAAGCTTGTAGAGACTTCCTCATATGTTCTTCAGTAAGAACTTCTAAAAAGTAATTTCCTGAGCGTTTATTCCCATTCTGGCCTCACGTGTTTTCATGGCTTAGTTCCCACCTCCCTGAGAACACAGACCCGCCTGGCTCCCTCACAAGTTGGAGATGGAAGGGCAGAGGTAAGCAACTTACGCTGGTTCTGTTTGGGCTGGTTGGTTCTGCCAGGGGGTCTTCCTCTCCGCTTCTTGGCAGGTGGTGGGGCTGGGGTCACAGGTTGAGGCTCTGGCTCTGGTTCAATTTCTACCGCAGGTTCCTCATCATCCTCATTGTCATCCAGATCTGGCTCAGCATTTTCTTCTCATAGAAATGAGGAGGAACAGGTAGTAGGGCAAGGTGAGTAGTGGAAGAAAAAGAAAACAGACAATCATATGTCTGTGAAGTCTCATTACACATTTATTTCCTTTACTAAGTAAAGCTCCTTTAGTGAGCTAAGATTTTTCTGTCTTTTGAAAGATCATCTTATCTGGTGCATGTGATACAATGTTTAAAAAAAATGTTTAAAGTCCCATACCTCTGCTGGGCACTGGTGGTTTATGCCTGTAATCCTAGCTACTCAGGAGGTTCAAAGCCAGCCCGGGCAGGAAAGTCTGTGAGACTCTTATCTCCAATGAACCACCAGAAAACCAGAAGTGGCGCTGTGGCTCAAGTGGTAGAGACTCATCTTGTGCTGAAGACTATAGGGACAGTGCCCAGGCCCATAGTTCAAGCCCACAACTGACCAAAAAGAAAAGGCCTATACCTCTAACTCAAGCACAGTCTTTGGGATTTTCTGTTAGTTTAATTTTCTGCTCAGTAGAAATATTTTTGCTCTGTAGTTAAAAAAGAAAGGCCAGTAAAAAAAAAATGCATTTGCAGCAGGTCCCCATAGCATAGACTTGTAATCCTAACTACTGAGGAAGCTAAGACCTAGAAGATCATGGTTAAAAGCCAGCCTGAGCAGGAAATCTGAGTGACATTATCTCTAATTGCAAAAAGCTAGGTTGGAGGCATAGCTCAAATGGTAAAGCACCAGACATGAGCCAAACAAAAGCTTGCCAGCCAGGGGCTGGGAAGGTGGCTCAGTGGTAGAGCGCTTGCCTTGCATGCCTGAGGCCCTGGGTTCGATTCCTCAGCACCACATAAGCAAAAAGAAAAAAGCCGGAAGTGGCGCTGTGGCTCAAGTGGTAGAGTGCTAGTCTTGAGCTGAAGAGTTGAGGGACAGCGGATCCCAGTTTGAAGCCAGCCCAAGCAGGAAAGTCCTTGAGACTCTTTTATCTCCAATTAACAAGCAAAGTCAAAAGTGGAGGTATGGCTTAAATGGTGGAGCAACTTAAGTGGGGGACAACAAACAAAAAACAGGCAAGAACACAAGGCACTGAGTTAAAGCCCCAATATTCGCAAGAAAACACACACACACACACACACACACACACACACGTTTCTAGCTATCAGCACTGATATACAGTAAACAGATACTATAATAGTTAGGCAAATCAACTAAAATGCTATTAATCCTCCTTTACATTGAGTGTTTTTCCCACTATTATCTCAGATCATTGTTTCAAATTCTTGCTTTTTTGGTGCTGGTCCTAGGACTTGGACTCAGGGCTGGGTACTGTTGCTGAGCTTCTTTTGCTCAAGGCTAGTACTCTACCACTTGAGCCACAGCTCTACTTTTGATTTTTTTTTTCAAGTAGTTTATTGGAGATAATAGTCTTATGGACTTTTCTGCCATGCCTGGCTTTGAAACAAGGTCCTCAGATCTTAGCCTCTTGAAAGTTGCTAGGATTACAGGTATGTTTCAAATTCTTGGGAGGCAACTCCATCTTTTTTTTTTTTCTTGCCAGTCCTAGGGCTTGAACTCAGGGCTTGGGCACTGTCCCTGAGCTTCTTTTGCTCAAGGCTAACACTCTACCACTTGAACCACAGCATCACTTCTGGCTTTTTCTGTTTATGTGATACTGAGGAAACAAACCCAGGGCTTCATGCATACTAGGCAAGTACTTTACCACTTAGTCACATTCCCAGGCCAATTCCATCTTTTATTAGCTATATACAACTACAAAATAGTGTTCAAGCTGAAAATAAAAATGTCTCCTTTACTATGTAAGGAAGCCTGATCCTTGGAAATCTGCCCATATCTAGTTGGGTAGGAGTGTGTGTGTGTGTGTGTCTGTGTGAGGGAAACCAATGAACAGTCTTGAGATAAAAAGCTAAGGTCCTGAGTTCAATCCCTAGAAACCCCTTACCAAAAAAAGTTCTTTTGAGACTATTACTGAATTTTTCTTTTTTGCCAGTTCTGGGGCTTGAACTCAGGGCCTAAGCACTGTTCCTGAGCTTCTTTTGCTGAAGGTTAGCATGCTACCACTTGAGCCACATTGCCACTTCTGGCTTTTCCTGTTTTTTTGGTACTGAGCAATTGAACCGAGGGCTTCATGCATGCTAGGCAAGCACCCTACCACTAAGCCACATTGCCAGCCCTGATTTTTTACATCGAAGGTCTCAAAACTTAATTATCAGCTTCAATGGGTTAATTTATAGACCCACTGATTCTAATATCTGAACAAAGGGAGAGAACTGCTAAAGAGAATACTGACAAACAGCCAGATAATACAGGTTTGAGTCCCAGATCTGTTTTGGGTTCACAGCCTGTGGGGGGGGGGGGGGGGGGAAGGGGGGGAAGTTGCTACATGAACTAAGACCTTCTCTCCCTTTCTTTGAATAATCTACACAGCAATCCCAACCCAATTAATAGTGACTTGAGAATCATGCCCAGGAAATTACACTTTACACAAGCACTTTTTGTATGTGTATGTGCCAGTCCTGGGTACTGTCCCTGAGCTTCTTTTTGCTTAAGGTTAGTGTTCTAGCTCTTGAGCCACAGATTCACTTTCAGCTTTATTTTTTTTATCTTTTATTTTTTTGTCAGTTGTGGGGCTTGAATCTGGGCCTGAGCGCTGTTCCTCAGCTCTTCAGCTCAAGGCTAGCGCTCTACCACTTGAGCTACAGCGCCACATCCGGTTTTCTGGTGGTTTATTGGAGGTAAGAGTCTCACGGACTTTCCTGCCTAGGTTGGCTTTGAACCCTGATCCTCAGATCTCAGCCTCCTGAGTAGCTAGGATTACAGCCATGAGCCACTGGAGCCTGGCTGCACTAGCTATCTTAAAACAGACATTTTCTCTGGAACAAAATGTTTAAACTTAGAAAATCAGTGAGAAAATGCTTTATTTTCAGGACAAAATGGCTCCGTTATCAAATGACTGAAATCCTTAGACACAGGGAACTCACTGGTAGGTGGTAGTGTGTAAAAAACAAGGTGCTTCTGAACTGAATTTATTTAAGCTCTCTATTGCCTAAGTTGGCTCAATGCCTAGAAGACTTAACAAATTCAGTTAGAACTAGGGAGGGGGCACGAAAAGAAGGTTGACAGGGTCAAAAGATTACTGGCTTAGTGATATTTTGTTGATGGCCAATAGGCAGAACTTCCTGGATGGGACAAGTAAGATTGTGGGGCCTTTGTCAGCAGCGGGATGCATGGAGTCCATACTGATTTCCTCGTTCTGGGGGCATAAAAAAACACTAGGTACAAGGGTACAAACAAACCAGTAGTGAAAAAAGACAAAAGGAAGAAGAACCATCAATAATCTCTTTAGCTTAAAGAGACTTCTGGAAATGTGCAATTAGGAAGTGAAGCTGACCATGCTGAAGATGAACCATAGATAGAAACAAGGCAGTACTAGGGGAAGAAAGGGCTTGGAGCACAGTAGCAGGAGTTTCTGCAAAAAAAAGTACAGGGAATCCCAAAGATCAAGGTCACTGCAAGCACTGGTAATATCTGGGGTCTGAGTGACATTACTTGATATCTCCCAACAGTTCACTGCAATAATTTCTTAGCCAAATCAAGAGATCCCACAAAGACCTGTAGTAAAGGCTAGTGTGCTTTTGTAGATTTTCTAACTTAAAAGGGCAGCAAAAGGGCTGGGATATAGCTCAATGAAAGGTCAAGTGCAATCTCTAGCACCACCACCATCAAAAGTTGTTTTTTTTTTTTTTTGGTTTCAGGTCTAGGGCTTGAACTGAGGGTCTGGGCACTATCCCAGAGCCTTTTTACTCAAAGCTAGTGCTCTACCACTTGAACCACAGCTCCACTTCTGATACGTTTGGTGCTTAGCTGGAGATAAGAGACTCATAAACAACGTTCTTGCCCAGGCTAGCTTTGAACCATGATCTTCAGATCTTAGCCTTTGGAGTAGCTGGGATTAACATTCAAGATCCATCTGACTGAGCCTCGAGTTCTAGGAATGATGGGTGCCAGTGACTCACTGTAATCGTAGCTACTAAGGAGGCTGAGGTTTGAAGATCGCAGGCTTTAAAAAGTCTGTTGGACTTATTATCTCCAATTATGCAAAAAGCCAAAAATGGAGCTTGGACTCAAGTGGCAGAGTATTAGCCTTGAAAAAAAGGACCTGGGGGCTGGGAAGGTGGCTCAGTGGTAGAGTGCTTGCCTTGCATGCCTGAGGCCCTGGGTTCGATTCCTCAGCACCACATAAGCAAAAAAGAAGCCAGAGGTGGCCTGTGGCTCAAGTGGTAGAGCGCTAGCCTTGAGCTGAAAGAGCTGAGGAACAGCACCCAGGCCCAGAGTTCAGGCCCCACTACCCAACCCCCCCCCAAAAAAAAAGGACCTGATTTGAAGCCCCAGGATTAGTGTACACATGTACACACACAGAGACAGACGCATGCACGCACATAAATTGTTTTTGCAGGTATAAGCTACTATGCCTGAATTTCATCATTCTTTCTTCTTTTTTGGGTGGGGGGAGAGGGTTGGTACTGGGATGCTTATTGGGCAGGTACTCAATTGCTGGTCTATATCTCCAACCTCTGATTTTTTCTTTTTTTGTTGGTTATGGGGCTAGAACTCTGGGCCTAGGCTCTGTCCCTGAGCTCTTCAGCTCAAAGCTAGTGCTCTACCACTTGAGCCACAGTGCCACTTCCAGTTTTTTAGTGGCTTATTGGAGGTAAGAGTCTCATGGACTTTTCTGCTTGGGCTGGCTTTGAACCGTGATCCTCAGATCTCAGCCTCCCAAGTAACTAGGATTACAGGTGTGAGCCATCAGCGCCTGGCTGATTTACTTTATTCTTATGCTTACCAGACAATAATATTTTTCCAGAGAAGTACTCAAAATTGAAGGTTTTAAAAACATCTTTTTTTAAGTTAGAGCTTTCAATGAGCAAGTTTTACAATAAAACACAGAGTGATAGAAGTTCTCTAATTGGCTTACTTTCCAAAAATTCCATCCTCTCCCACTATTATCATTTTTTGTGGATGCCAGTACTGGGACTTTAACTCAGGGTTTCGAGCTCTCATTCAGGTTTCTTTGTTTGCAGCTGATGCAATACTGCTTTATCCACAACTATAAATAAGCTTTTCGCTGGTTAACTGGTGATAGGAGTCTCACTGACTTCTGCCTGGATTGGCTTCAAACTGCAATCCTCTAACTCTCAGCTTCCTGAGTAGATAGGATTTATAAGAATGTACCACAGGGCCCGATTCTCATTACATTATTTTTACTAGCCAGCAATTCAAAAGACTAAATGAGGGCTAGGGGTAGTGGCTCACGCGGTAGAGGATCTGCCTAGCAAATTCAAGGGCCCAAGCCCAAGATCAAATCTTAGTACTGAGAAAACCAAGAACGAAAACGAAAAGTCCTTAGCTGAATTAGGCACCACCATTCCCCAAAACAGAGCTCTCTATGACCTTTTCGATCAAAAATTTTAGGCACATCTGACTAGAAAAGCAATTATCACACCATAGAGAACTAATGAGAGAGCAAAAAAGGTGGTTAAATGATAGGTGCAGAGATTAAGGTAGGAAGAATATGTGGCTAGCCTTCAATGATTTCATCAAGTACCTCAAGGCTAGGCTGACAAACACAGTCAAGATACTTAAGCAACTACCTTGATGTCCATTACAGTCACTGCTCAAATCGGGACTACATGTAAAATAACATGGGAAAGAAACTCTGCTAGCCTTGGACTATCACTAATTTGAAAAAGTAAATACAATAACATTAACCCAGGAAACAAATTAGCTGCTGTTGTAAATGCACATTAGGAAGATTAGAATTAAAGAAGTTTTTTTTTACTTTTTGTTGGTCATGGGGCTTGAACTCTGGGCCTGGGCGCTGTCCCTCAGCTCTTCAGCTCAAGGCGAGCGCTCTACCACTTGAGCTACAGCGCCACTT